CAAGGAATTTTTTTAATTAGAACGCAGAAGATGGTTTCATAAGCAAAATTTTGAGTTATCTGCAATTTTTGAAAAAACTTTGTTGTTTTCGTTAAAATTTCGCGTTACACAAGATCCTGAATTTTGATTGGTATATAATCATTCAGGGCGCTGGAAATCACCATTGCTGGTATAACGTATCTTATTTTGTTAGCCAATCAAAATTTTTTCAACAAAAAAAAATCATAACACGCCGTGTCATGATTTTTTGTCAATCACAAAATTTGATTGGGGATTATCATAAATACACAGGAAATAAACAAAAAAATTGAGTTCTTATATACAAAATGAATTTTGAACGCGATAACCTTCCAGCTAACTTATTGTCAATTATAAAAGCTTTGCATGACTCTTGTCCAGAATTAAAAAGCATAGAATTTGGAGACGACGATATTGTTGTTAATAGAGTTATTTCGAAAAATAATAAAAAAAGACAAAGACATCAAACGCAAAAAATAACTCACGATGAATTAAAAAATTACGTTTCACCAGTTGAAACAATATTGGTATACTTAAACTCTGTTAATTGAAATTAACAACTTGGCATCATACTTATTTTTGTAAATTTAGGTACTTCAAAATAAAATAAAAATGTTAAGAGATGTTTTTGAAAGTTCAACATTTCGAAGAAGAACGGTATGTTTATTATAATCTTTACTGTTTTAAATTTAATAGTTAAAATTAAATTATATTCTTATTTTAGGAGATACTTATTAGTCCGCTCGAAGAAACGAATAATGATTTAACATATCAAAATTCATCAAATGATTATTTGAATACATTGTTATTTGATTTAAAGATTCAGCAGGAAAAAACAGATGAAGATACTTGGATCAACATAAACTCAAGACTAGAGACAGTTTTCGGTCGGGGTAGAAAATTAAAAACGCCAGATGACATAAAATATTTAGAATTAATTAAAGCGTTGGAGAACTCGAAATTTAATGTTTATCCAGTTGGTGTGTGGATTGAAAAGGCTAACTATTCCTTTAATACCGGTGAGAATTTAAATATGCAAGGTGAATAGTTACATTAATCGATGTTTAATAATATTCTTAATTTTTTTAATTGCTCTTACAAGTGGATCAGTCAATAAGTGAAATACCTGCTGAAAACATTAATGACAAAGAGAATAATCAAATTAAAAAAGGTTAGTTCTTTTGTTTATTGAAAATAATATTAATTCAAACTAATTTTTATTCTTGATCCACTTAGTGTGGAATAAACCATGGTATAATGTTGCTGATAAATTACTTAGCCCCAATATTACTGAGGATTCGCTTCAAATTAGAGTTAATGACAATAGCATCATTATTGATTTGGCGAAAACAAATGGGAATACCAATCTTTTTGATGATAGAAAAATAGAATTTGGCAACAACTTGAACACAATTACAAATGGATTAAATAATTAGAACAGGCTTAATTCGGTGACTGACCACGTAGAAACTGAACTCAATTTTTTTAGGCTTAATCATTTTTTACGTCTTTTGGATGGATATGATGACCTTTTTGATTATGTGAAAAAGGAAACGACTAAGGGACTTAGTACCGAAGAAAAAATTAAGAATGGGATTCCTCTCGGTCTGGATACATCCAAAACCGCGAAAAGGAAATGGATTAGATATCAAATAATGAATGGCCTTAATATATCTCATGAGCATGAAGATAGAATTTATAAAGCACTAAATCGCATTAAACACATAATTAATGCAAAACTTTATTTGATCAGAAACCTTGCCCAGGTGGGTGCTTCTCCAAGGTTCTTTCAATTGTTGACCAATTCTGAATATAAATTGTTTTTAAACAAAATTTCAAATGGAAGTAAGCACACTCTGAATAGACTCAACGTGTAAAACTATTCATATGTTTTATTAATACTATGTTGATTTAATAAAATTTAAACGAGCTAGTAAAACCATCATTGGGGTAGGGTGTACTATTTTGAAATTATATATATAAACTTGATATATTTTAAATTACAAGTTTTTTTTAATTAGTAGTTTTAACTACATTGCATAGAAGTAAAATTGATTTAAGAATTTATATTAAAATATCGTTATATTACTATAATTTAATTTATAGATGTCATTAAATGTTAATTTTGATCTTGTAATATAATCCAACCACTCATCACTTATTATTAAATTGTACATTGAAGAGCTTGAAAAGTTTTACATAATTACTCAACAACTAAATTGAATATTAACTATGTTTCAATTATATTGTATTAAAATATTGTTTATTTATCGAACTTTAAACATTAGTAACTTCGAATATAAATTGAAATTGTAATTTACAAGAATAATGCACTTTTTATATGTTAATACTAATAATTATAACAGTTCCAATTAGAAGACTCCTTCATTCGAAATTATTTTTGGTGACAATAAGAAATTTAAAGAAATTTAATTCATCACCAATTTTAGTTTCATATTATCGCGTGATATTTAAAAAAATTCAATACAAATACAGTATTTTTATTTGTAAATAAGAAACAATACATTAAGTAATTAAATCTGTCTCATTAAATTACTAATCGATAAGTTAAAACACGATTACAGTATTTACATTACTAAACTGCATAGTTTTTCTTGTTATTAAAAATTGATTAACACCAATGATTAATACAAAATATCAGACAATCTTTTTAAATAGGTTTCATTACAATTGATTTTGGCATACCTATTATCTCGAAATAACGCTGCAAACAAACTTGATCTAAGTAGAGCAGTTTACCTCATGGAACTTATTACATTCCCACTAGTAGTCAACGATCCTATCCTAAAAGGTAGCTCAACAAGAACAAAGTAGTCTTAATGTTAGAATGATCAAAAGCTAAGCTTAGTAACATAAAATTATAAAGTATATATTGTAAGAAAATTAATTGATTAATCGATTATTAAAAAAGATTATATTTTAATCAAGCAGTAATCTAAAATTAAATGCGATTTTGTTTATCATTTATCCATTTTTATAAAAATATAAAAAAAAATATGATTGGTCAGTATCACGATGTTTATCAATTATCCATTTTCGTAAAAAAATACAAAAAAATATGATTGGTCCGATTTGATAACTTGAATATCCTGAGGATTTTTATCAGAAATTAAAGCTTCCAAGTCTTTTATTGCGAGTGACCCCGATTATTGTAAGGTATCGGATAATATCATTATTGGATGCTTCGCGACGTATCTGGCAGAAAATTTAGCCAATGAAAAAGTGTTCTATTCCTCTTAAGGCCATTTGAAGTTGATTCTTCAGTTAACGTCAACTTTTGAGCTTGGACGGGCAATTATTCACCTACAATTAAACTTATACATTCCTTATTAAACTTTATATTTAATTAAGAGATATACAAGTTCTGCAAAAACCCATTAGGATTCTAGGGGGTAGGTCCCAACGCCGAATCAGAAAATTCGGCTCGACTAAGAGTTAAGAATCGAAGAAGGATATTTCTTGCCGCATTGATGTCTCTGTCCATCTCTATTTGATACTGAGGACACTTAAAAGTTTTGTTTGATCCTAGTTTTTTGTGAAGATATCCACAATTTCCGCAAGTTTTTGAAGTATAATGCTCATCACAAATAATTACTTTACACCAAGGATATTCTCTTGTTTTGTTGATTAAACGTTGCTTAAAACGATAATGAGACCATCCGAGCATTGCTCTTGCAGTCTTACTTCTTATTCTTCTATTAGCTCTTCTCATCATCCTTTGTGTCCCAAATTCAGGAAGTAATACGATATGATATTGTTCAACAATCCACTTGGTGAATTTCTTATGTACCTCATCAATAAGATTTCGAATTTTTTTTCTAATTCTTCTTGCTGCTTTCTTTAATTTGTAACGCTTTTTATGTCGAACTTCTTTTTTTGACCACTTACTTTGTAATTTGTCAAGAGCATGACAGAGATGATAAATTCTTCCAATGTCATTTTTACCCCATTCAACTACAAGTCCAGAAGGTGAGTATCCAGTTGAGAATGT